AAATCATTTGACACAAGCACTTCACAGCTGCTCGCCATAGCGAGACCCCTTCTCTCTCACACACGTCTCATTCGCTCCGGTTAAATAGTGCTTGTATTGCGCATTATTTTAGTCATTCCCGCAGGTTTCGAGCTTACACCAAAAGCGCGCGTACCACCTGATCTATATTAGTGGAGCGCACAAGCCACCCTCAGTCTCAAACAGCTTGTGAGCCACAAATACCAAAATGAGCTGTATTTAATTTTTACAATGAAGACTACAGAAATTAAAATCAAATGTAAAATAACACTGAATGTGTTATTTTACATTTGATTACTTTAATTTCTGTAGTATTTCTTACCTGAATAAAAACTTACTTAACCTGAAAAACTTAACCTGAAAAACTTAGTTTCATAGCTCTCTTTATTCTATTGCATTTATTTGTGCTGTTGTTTGCAATTTTTGTATTTGTTCTTATTTTATTAATGACTTTTTACTTGTTTTTTTTTTGTTAAAATAAAACTGCGTTAAAGAAAAGTAGAGTTTTGTTTGTATATGCTGTCAATTATAGTTCTTAGAAAGAAAATCAGAATCGGCAAAAATCGGTATCGGCAGATCACACTAACAAAAAATCGGAATCGGCCAAGAAAATTGCAATCGGTGCATCTCTAAATAAAACAATATTTAAAAATGTTCTAGAATATTGTTTTACCTATATATCGTCCACCCTATGCTAGTATCATGCTTCACTGTTTGAGACAAGTATAGTTGCTCATAGTCTCAGCTGAATGCTTGATGCATATGGCACACTAATGTTAAAACACTTTCGTAAAGGCAAAAGTCCAAATCTAATTGGCTGACTTCTACAGGTTTTCTGGGGAGTGTTGTGTGCAGTGATCTTTAGCAATCCTCCAGGAAACAAAAGCAGTGTTTACAAGTTCTGCAGCAATGAGCGCTTCAGAGGACTAAATGCTGGATTTGAGAAAGTTTGTAAAGTTAATGGCACATTTATGCAGTTTGTTTGAGGCACTTAGTTGAATTTATGAGTTCACATGATTTCATTTGGTTTGTTGTTGTGTCCTTTCACATCTATAACAGCGTATCAGGTGAAGTACCTCACTGAGAAGAGAATGTACCTGTGGCATATGCAGGGAAACATGAAAGTACGGAAGTTCAAGGATGCTAACCACTCATTCCACTAAAGAGCCCAGACCTAATGTCGTCAGGCAAAGGTCTGGCTTCATGAGACTGTGCTGCTTGTTGATTTATCACGCTACGTCTGGTTAGGCTGTGATGTAAACTCATCCTCTCTGTTCACCATCTGTCTGCTGCTCTAACCTGAAGTTGACCTGGTAATGCAGTGCCAGATTGAAATAATGTCTCCAGTGTCTCTCTTATGAGTACATCTGATATATTTACTTTTTAGTAACAACATAACAAGCTGGACAAATATTGTTCCTGCCTCTGTTTAAATTTTCAATTTGCATTTTTTGTTTTAATTATTACAAATTACACTGATCAACAGATTATTATAGATTTCAAGGTTAGTGTTTTTACTTTAATAATGGTTATTACACACACAGCCAAGGTCTGTTGTTTGGTTGATAGGGCCTCTCTCTGCCTCTGTCAGTAACTCTTATCACAGTGAATGATGTGTAGAACAATTTAAACAGAGTAAACGAAAGGAGACAAACAAACTACTACCACAGAGAATACTGCTGTAATGATATACTTTAATTGTTTAATTGTTTAATCTTAAATGTATCTTGCTATTGATTTCGACAGAGACTCATTTTAATTCATCCCTCAATGTGTAAAAACAAAGTAAAAGTATGCACAGTGTAAAAAGTGTAAAAAGTCAAAGTACGCACATCCAAAGCTTCTTAGTCAGGTGCAAGATCAAAGGATACAACAAATCATGCAAAAAGGATCTGCACACTGTGTTCTCCCTTTATTTAGAAAAGTTAAAAGTGGCGGCAACGAAGATCTATGACCGAAATGTTGAACCAGCACTTTTAACTTTTTTAAAAACATCAAAAAGACATCACACTTTTAAAATTGAAGATTATGGGGTGAACACAATAATCATTAATAATGTTCAATTTCTATATCATACTGTTTAAGTTTAATCTTAACACTTAACCGAAAATCATATCTAGCCTGCATTCATGTCTAGATTTAAAAAAATGGTAGGCCTATGTCAAAACCAAGGGCAAGATATTCTTCCCCTATTGTTTTCTGTCTTTCACATTATATATTCTCCTCTGCTTCCCTCTCCTTATTGATTTCTACCTGATGTCAGGTAACCTGTCACAGTTTTTGCCTGATTCTTCTTTTTCCCACCCTTCATTCTTATATAAACCAAATAGATCCCCCATATTCTGATATCAATTTCTTGCTGATAAGTGCAAATTCTTCAAATGCAGTAATGCTATGTTAAAAGGATGTTTCACCCAAAAATTACAATTCTGTTGTCATTTACTCACCCTTATGTTGTTACAAACATACATGGCTTTCTTTCTTCGGTGGAATGCAATAGAAGATATTTTGAAGAATGTTTTTTTTTCCCATGGACCTAAAACTGTTTAGTTAGCAACATTCTTCAAAATATCTGCTATCGGAGTCAGCTTCTCTAACATTTTATGCTTATATCACATCATTATGATAATAAGAGGGCATTTGTACAAACCTGTGCATACAATTTTTCATTTTCTGGAGGAATTATCCTCGAGTCCATCAGTGTTAATCAAGAGGTCTGTAATGTGGACTGAAGAGTGTCATACTGTGCTGTCTTGCTGAAAAGTTTTTCATTACACATAAGATTACATTGCTTCTTTTATTAAGGAGAGATAGGACAAATATTTCTGCTGTTACAGGGAGTGAAAGGGCATAACAATGAACAAATGCTCCATTTTCAGAGATTTTGTTTTATAGATTTTGACTGCAACCTTGCATTGATAACTTAATGCCATGGCTTTTTGAGTTCTTTATTATTGATGGGTCCTGAAGGACGAAGCGAAGACACAAGACACAAACTTTGTGACTAAACAGCAGAACAATAAAGAAGATGCCAAAGAAAGTTTGTGTGTCTGTGTGTGTGTACTGGAAAGGTTTGAGGTTGAAACAGCTAAAAGGGCTTTTTATGGTGGCAAAAGCCTTGAAGTGACAAATATGAAATGACAGTTCGTGTCCCTATATGCCTTTTTATTGAAGACCTCTAACAAAGCTTATTTTTCAGAGATATCCACTTGTACAACCTTCTGGACTTGGCCTTATTTGTGCACTGGAGACAATATCTACAGTGACAAGAATCTACAGTGGCCCCAAAAAGTCACTGGACACTAGAGTCACACTAAAATCGGAATGTCACTGCAAAATATAAAAAAACACAAAACAAATGTAGCTATATCTTTTCTAACTAACTTCACTTTTTGAGCCATTTTACTAATACGATTTAACTGGTCTCAAGGGTAGGGTTGCACCAGCCATATGTAATCTTAATCTTATTTTAAATTGGAACATGAAGTCCACACTAGATACTTAGTAACTAACTAGCTAGTTTTCACCTAACTCTGTTTTTTACTTGCACCATTGTTTTATTCGCCAGCTAGTAGCTCATAAGCTCTCCGTAAAGTAATGTGTAGTCACATAATATGGCATTTACCCCCAATGATCCAATAGCAGCTTTCAAATAAATTAGCAGAAGTTGTGTTGAAAAGGTATGAATCTGAGTTTATGCTTGATCATATTTAACAGTACATATAACAGTAAACAATGTTTTAATTGAAATACGACACTACTTAATCATAAATTACGCAATATGTATTTTTATATGTAAATAACATTCAGAAACTGTATTTAAAATTAGTGAAGATGAATAAATAATAAATACTACTTAAAAATACATATTTATTATGATGATTTGTGACCCTGGACCACAAAACCAGTCGTAAGTGTCAATTTTTCAAAATTGAGATTTATACATCATCTGAAAGCTTTCCATTGATGTATGGTTTGTTAGGATAGGACAATATTTGGCTGAGATACAACTATTTGAAAATCTTGAATCTGAGGGTGCAAAAAAATCAAAATACTGAGAAAATCGCCTTTAAAGTTGTCCAAATGAAGTTCTTAGCAATGCATATTACTAATCAAAAATTAAGTTTTGATATATTTACGGTAGGAAATTTACAAAATATCTTCATGGAACATGATCTTTACTTAATATCCTAATGATTTTTGGCATAAAAGAAAAATCAATAATTTTGACCCATACAATATATTTTTGGCTATTGCTACAAATATACCCCAGCGACTTAAGACTTGTTTTGTGGTCCAGGGTCACATTTTATTTGACACACACAACATCAACCAATTCATGCAGAGGTGTGCTGTAAAGGTCAGGTTCGAGCCGTTTACAGTGTAATTTATTTACCTAATGTTCTCTTCACTTAAAAATGCAAATGAGTGTTAATGTCAACATTATCATATATGTCTAAAGGGTTGAAGTCTGTCAAGCAAAACAAGACCTTATTGATGCAATTAAGTCAATCTACTATATTATTCTAACCATTACTCCTCGTCAGAAGCTTCTGTAAATATTCGTTTATATGTAGAGTTATATTTGAAGTAAGTTTAATGATGCAACACAAACATATTTAGCAGTGCGCAAGTTAGTGCCCCTTTACATCAAATCCTGAATGGTGCAACCAAGGTGATTTTTTCATGGATGTATGAAGTCCGTTCTCCTCAAGCACGCAGGCGTCCTATCAGAGTAACCACAAGTGTGTTTCATCACATTAATCATGAACATGATCCACTAACATTTGTCAACCACAAACTACGTGAAATGCATAATTGTTTAAATGCAAATGTGTTTGCTTTGAATATCTAATGCAACTATATTTAAACATTTCTAAGTTTGACTAAAGTGCTTTTGGAGGCTACAGCTGCTCTTCACACAAAAACTGCCCTCAGTTTCAGCTAAATGCCACACTTACACTGTATGTTCTCTCTCTCAGGCATTGTGTCTCTCATATCCTTGGTGGTTCTTTCTTACGACCGCTGCAGCACATTGACGGTGTACCATAACCGCGGTCCAGACTATCGCAAACCTCTTCTGGCAGTAGGGGGTTCGTGGCTCTACTCTTTGATTTGGACAGTGCCCCCTCTTCTGGGCTGGAGTAGTTACGGGCTGGAGGGGGCGGGAACCAGCTGCTCTGTATCTTGGACCGAGCGTACGGCCCAGTCTCATGCCTACATCATCTGCCTGTTCATATTCTGCTTGGGACTACCAGTGCTCGTCATGGTCTACTGCTATGGGAGACTGCTGTACGCCGTCAAACAGGTAAACTGCGGTTTTGTGTTGTGCGTCAAAAAAATGCCTTGGGATTAAAAACTCCCTTAATTTCTGTTACTGAATACGTAAAGGCTCAGGGTCTCAAGATATTTGAAGTTGCTGCCATTTCTGTGGATGCACACTGATTCATCCAAACTCAGAGAAAATGAAGTGCTAATTTAGAGGAACTAGACTGTTTAATTGGTTGCTGAAACAGAAAATTGGTTATCGGACATTGTTAACTTTGTTTAAACCCATTTTTGTAGAATCATGAGCAGGAGATGAAACTGGCAGTACTTTCTTTATGCCTTGCATACATTTACAGAAAACCCATCCAGAGACCTTGCTAGATGTGTGACTGCATGTTAACGATAACAAGAGTTCGATAAATGTTCAATATCAATGTTTATGTGCCAAAAGCGGAACAAAACAGCGCTGCTCATTTGAACTGTGCCACACGGGCCATTTATCCACATGGCTCAAAATTCAAATGGCAGTTCAACGTGAGCTTACTAGAGCAGATGCGTTTACCCGCTGATAAGTCTCGGTCACGCGACCACTAAACAGCACTGTGAGATCCAGTGTGAAGCGCTTGAATTTAGCAAAGAACACAAATGCCTCTGTGATTTAAACTAGTTTAAAGGTAGATGAAACAGCGCTGACAAACAGGAGAAACACTGTGCGCAACAATTCAGTCAGAAGACTTTTCAATCTACAAATCGCCATCATTTACAATGGATTTACTGTAGTAACACTAACACTGCACCATGGTATTGTGGCAGAAATGTGGGATATTCATATGGAATTTTATTATATTATTAATGTAGACACGTATTAAAGGATTAATGGAATATACTGTAATTACAGTATTTTTTGTGATTAAGCTATTGCATTTGTGCATTTATACTAAATGTATTTAGACTACTGTTTTTCATACAAATACCTAGAAACCATATACCTACATTTTTACCATGGTATTGAGGTGCTGTGTGTGTGGTTTTAACTGTGGTTATCATGACCTAAATGTATGCTGCTGTGGCAGATAAAACTCAAACAGTCAGAATAACTAAACATATAAAAATGATTTTTTTGCAATTTTATAGATGTTACTGTTTTTGATACTAAACATAAATTTACATCTGCACCCTTACTCAAGGTACTACTAGCTACTGTCAAATGTGCATAAGAGACAAAAATTTATATTATTAAAGGGGTCATATGATGCGATTTCAAGTTTTCCTTTCTCTTTGGAGTGTTACAAGCTGTTCGTGAATAGATAAGATCCCTGAAGTTGCAAAGACTAAAGTCTCA